GGCATGCCGCGCTCTCATTGGCTCCCTTACATACAGCAGCGGACTGACCATTCGAGCACTGCCCGAGGGCCCATGGTCAGTAGGGGGCCCCATGAGATGCCCCCGATACCTTTAATAGGCTTTTTTGGGTGTGGTTTGAGTGTTGGCGAGGACACAGGGGCCCCATGATTTCCTATTACCGGGGGGCCCCATGAGTTGTCAGTCCGTCCCTGCTTACATATCAATCACAGGATCCCAGCCAGGACATGGCAATCGACAGAGCGACTGACAGGAGAAACATCTTTGAATGTAAACAACACAGATCTCTCTCCTGTCAGCGGGGATGTGCCAGTTTTTTTATCACCCTGCAAAGAAGGGAATAAAAATCAGCACATCCCCTAGTAAAACAGTACACAGCCATACCATTCCATAACACACAGGTAACCCTTTGATCGCCCCAGATGTAAACCGTGTCCTACTGAGTGTCATTAGTGCTTTTTTAAAAATGTATTTATTTCAGGTACTTATATAGTGCCATCAATTTACGCAGCACTTTACATATATATTGTACATTCACACCAGTCCCTAACCCTCAAGGGGCATACAATCTATGGTCCCTAACTCACATTCATACATACACATACTAGGGACAATTTAGACAGGATCCAATTAACCTACCAGCGTGTCTTTGGAGTGTGGAGGAAACCGGAATACCCAGAGGAAACCCACACATTCACAGGGAGAATATGCAAACTCCAGGCAGGTGGTGCCATGGTTGGGATTTGAACCAAAGACCCTAGTACTGCCAGGCGGAAGTGCTAACCGTTTAGCCACTGTGCTGCCCCAAATCACTGTATTAGTGTTACTGGAGATGTCAGTGGCAGTTAGTTCCCACCCACCATCAAGTAGTGTCAGAATGCCCGCTGTAGTATCAGTCCCTCTATAAGTCGCCACCATTACTGTGACGGGAGTGACTTTGGGTGGGGGGGCCCATGAAACACAGCTCACTTTGGAGAGGTGGGGAAACCCCTGTCTCAGCTCCCCATATCCCTCTTATGTGTAAGTCCCCCTGTGCTTTTTAGGGGTGCAGGGTGAGATGTCCTGATATTGTGTAGACATGTATTAGGTGGGGTGAGGGTTGGTCATTGTTTAAAGCCATGTGGTTGTGTCCCATTGTGTGTCTTGCTTGGGAGCAAACTGTAATGGGATGTATGTGTTTGTGTATTGGCTTGGTGGGGGGTGTTTCCGGCAGCCCTTCCCCCTGATGGGACTTTCTGCTGATGTGTCTCTTGTTGCTAGATTTGATTTGCCTCGCCCTGTGTCCTTATGCAGGGAGGGGGGGGAATTGTTCCCTTGCATGTTTATATCTTGTGTCTGTGTTAAAATAAAGCAGTCTATTTCCTGGTTTTGTTCAAGAGTGGTGTCCATGGTTTGTGTTCGGACAGGGAAGTGGGAGTCTAACAGAAATACCCTAGAGCAGTCAGGGTCCAGTTCCGTTACAATTACTAGTATATAAAAAAAAAAAAAAATCCAGTATCTACACTATTGTTTGTATGCACTCCAATTAATGTACACTTATTGGGGTTTTATTTATTTATTTTATCAAAGACATAGCAGAATGCGATTTGGTTTAAATTTATGAAGAAATTAAATTTTTTTTTATTCGATAGGTTTTATAGCAAAAAGAAAAAAATATATATATATTATATTTTTAATTTTCATTCTTTTTTCATTTATAGCACAAAAAAATAAAAAATCCAGTGATGAAAAAATACCAGCAAAAGAAATATCTATTTGTGTGAAAAAAAATTATATGCATTTCATTTGGGTACAGTGTTGCAAGTGGTTAAAAGTGGAGTTTCTCAAATGCTAGTAGCTTGAAGATATTTCAGAACTACTGATCAACTTCTGCCCTCCAGCTCTTTTCCTGGATCTCAACCTTTCCTCCTTCATATTCCAATCACTCCTCATGTTGGAGTTAACGGTTTCATCTGTTTTACCCTTTTTCCTCAGATATGGGAGACTTGAGAGAAAAACCACCAACCATTTCCAGCTGTAGCAAAATTTCATAAATGCAACGCCTGTTTCTCCCCTCCCCACGCAACCCTTTAACACCCACCCTCTCTAGGCCATAGCTAGGTTTGTCTAAAAAAAAAAAATTAAAAATTAAATAAATTAAAAAACAATGAAAAGCTCCTTTTACTTATGTGCCTCATGGTCCGAGACTCCTTTTTCATGGATTGCATCTCTGGGTGCCCATGTTGTTGGCTGGGTGAAGTGAACATTTCCCATTAACTGTCCAGCAGTGGGGTCCTCACAGGCTCCTGAATACTCCGGTGACTTAATGACATCGCAACAAGGAACAGCAACAAAACTGGGGTGGGCCTGGGCTTCAATGCTGGATAACCAATCTCCACTCCCAGAAGTGACGCCACAATGTGTCATATGGTGCCACATTTAGGCAAAAAAAAAAAAGTCAAAAAAAAAAAAATGGTGACAGGACAAGAGCAGGAATTTAACTATGCCTGGAGATGGGCTTTAATTTAGGCACATTGTAATGTGCAGCTTATCATACACTTGGAATTAATTATTCCATCACAAAAAATAAAATGGATAGATACAATTTTTGTAATGTATTCTGAAATATTATAAATCAATCTTTATTTTAATTACAAAGTGCTTTATTACCCCATTCATTCTATTTTTTTTCTACTTTATTTCTGATCTTCATAAATTAAAAAAATAACTTCCAAAAAAAAATAGAGACAACAGTCTTCGAATATCTACAAGAAAATAAGCAGGGCCAAAACTGCAGAATTCTACACATTTAAGGCTTTGTTCAGCTAATTTCTATAATAAACAAAAAAGCATTCTACAGTTTCTGGTCAATTAAAAATTATAATGAGCAGTGTGGATCTCCACACAGCTCTATACCTCATTTAAATAACAGGGTCAGCCCAACATGCAAGGGCCCTGTCAGTTCCTCCTATGCCTCATTGATTATATTGGTCAGATCTCTGCAATGGCTTCCCTTGCCTGTACACCTGCTGTCCCCAATATGAGGAGCTCTCACTATCCCGTGTGCCGAGTTCCCGGGCCTGTATACCTGCTTTGCCCATCTTGAGGAGCTCCCACCATCCCTGTGCTGATTTCCTGGGACAGCACCTGGCTGTTCTTATGAGAAGCTCCCACCATAGAGGGCGGAGCCTAGCCACAGGACAGTATGGCTGCCTAATCCAGGAGCTCCGGCAACTACAGAGCGTCGCTAAGCACTGGCCACGAGTGCACTCGCTCAGCACAGACCCCAAAAAGTATCTCCAAACTTCAAAACACACACATTGAGCAAGTGGAAGAAAGGGTGGACATAGTGGAGAGAAGCTCCCACCATACCTGTGCTGATCTCCAAAGGCTAAAAGCTGGAAATCAGAGGCTCCCACCAGACCTGCTGGATTTAGATCCTAACATATAGAATGTACCAGTGACAGCTGAAACACACAGAAGGTGGTGGGAACGCCCATAATCCCAGGTGGACAGGAACAGAATCGGGCACTATGGCCAGATCTTACTGTTGGAGTTGGGTTGGCTTGGCTCCCCAGGATCCACCTACAGCTAAAATGTGCCTTTTGGCTGGAATGGTCCATTATGAACAGCAGTGTCAGCCAAAAACTTCACTCCACGGTCCACCAACTGCAGTCAACGACTCCATAGTGCACAGTGCAGATACCAACTCAAGCCAATTTACACTATCGACAATAACGATTCTCCAGCTGTCCTGTGAAACCCTGCGAGGTCTCTTGTTGTATTCCTGTTTTGGGGTTTGTGAGTTTTCAGTGTATATTTTCTGAAAAAAAACCCTATATATATCTTAAAAAAAGATTCTGCAGTTATATTTTTACTCAGGTAAGGAACGGCTGGTTATAAATGGTACTTGTACCATGAAGAAAGCTTCTCACCCCCATTGGTGCTTAGTGAAGGACATTGGCCAGTTATCAAGGACCCTTCTGCCAAGCAAGGACATGGCCTACACCACTGGTTGATGTTGTGGGCCCCAAAGTAAACCTTGCATGCTAACTTAAGACATAGCCTACAGCTGCCATGTTGTTAATAGTCAACCAACCAGCATCATACACTACTAAAGCCTTCAGGTTGCAGGAAGTCACCATGAATGGTCCTCAGGCAGCGGGGTCCTGGTCACAGAACCCAACTTCACAAATGGCTTTTAAAGCAGTCTCCTGTAGATAAGGTATTGGACGATTTCTTTGGGGGGGAAAAAGAATTCCAATTAAGATACAAGCTTCCCCTCAATAAGACATTGTCACAAAGATGGATAGTTCAAGCTTTGTATCTAGCCTGATGGATTCTTCCTAACATAATTAAGAGGTCTAGCTGTAACGACAACTTTATCAGCCTTAGGGGAGAAGACAAAAACACAGATCAACTGGAGAAACCAAAACCATCCACAGAAAACCAAGCTTTAAATAATACTTTTTACTGGACCTTTCCTTTTAAACCTCCAAAGCTCTGTAGGCCTTCTGAGAGCAGGAGAAGCTGTCCTGAGTCACTCAAGTCAAAGCTCATACAGAGCTATGAGACGATCCTCATTTGACAACATCCGTGCTTTGTGATTGGCCCAACACTGTCACATGCACCTCCATACCCTTCAATAACAGGTGTGTTTGTTACTCTGGCAATTGAAGAGAGGAGGAGGAACAGAGAAAAAGCTAAGCATGTGCTGCTGGGGAGGGCAGATTGAAATTGGGTAGTTGCTTTGCCTTGCATACCTCCAGGACTGCAAGGCCATTCAGTCCTTTATGCTGGTGTATCTACCTGGGTTTCCTGATCACATGATAACTGTGACAGTCAGTCGCATGATCAGGAGATCATCCCATCAGGTTCCATGCTCCCTGCTGGATTTTGATGGGAATACCCAGAACCCCAGGTGAATGAAAAGAAGTGAGGCAACACCAGGAGGTGGGTGATAAATGCCCAGAACTCCAAGTTGCATATATACGCACCAGAAACTATGGCACTCCACCTATAAGAGAAGGAACAACCCCAGAGTCATAATGGGATGTTACATGTGTAAGTTGATGGGAGATAAGAGCTGGTTTCCTTGAGAAATACTTCCCACAATCCGAACAGGAATATGAATTCCTCCCTTTGTGGTTCTTTTCATGTCTGGTGAGATGCGATTGATACTGAAAGCATTTCCCGCACATAGAGCAGACATAAGGCTTCACCCCTGAGTGAATTTTTTGATGCCTGACAAAAACAGACTTGTGCAGGAAACATTTTCCACACTCGGGGCAAGAGTATGGTTTTTCTCCTGAGTGGCTCATCTGGTGGATATCAAGACGTGACTTGCTTAGAAAACGTTTCCCGCACTGAGGACAACTATGTGGATAATTGCCCGTGTGGCTTATGTCATGCTGTAAAAGATTTGCCTTTTCACGAAAGTGTTTCCCGCACACGGGGCAGATGTATGGCTTTTCCCCTGTGTGGATCTTCTGGTGTCGTAAAAGATGGGCTTTTTCCTTGAAAGACCTTCCGCACTCGGAACACAAAAATGGCTTTCTCTCCGAGTGAACCTTTACATGTCTGAAAAGGTGTGATGTTTGGGCAAAACATTTCCCGCAGTCAGAGCACAAATATGGCTTCTCCCCGTGTGGGACCTCTGGTGCACAACGAGCCTCGCTCTTTTTTCAAAAGATCTCCCACACTCATTACACGTGAATGCTTCATCCCCTCTATGAGTTGTCTGATGTGTGACGGGATGGGCGAGTTCAGGGAAAACATATGTAGAGGGACTGGATGACAGATTTGCCCTCCGAATCCCCGGATGGAGATTTGGGGTAATGAGGTCCTCTCCTGGGGAGTCAAATGTGATTTCCACTTCTATTTCACAATCTGGGGAAATGAGAGGGTCCTCATCCATGGTCCTCTTGTTGGGATGTCCACCTAGATGAAACAAACGGATAAAGAATTAGAATGCTAAAAGTGGTGTTTAGGAATTTCCAAGGAACTAAAGAATTTCTCTAATCTTGTGTTAAGTAGGAGGAGCTGCCCCCCAAAAATAGTCTTTCATTTGAATTTAAAGTAGGCCTAAAACTTATCAAACAGCTTTAAAAAATCAGGTCCCTCAGAACCCTGGATCAAGGTCAGATGAACTGACCAAGCTATGCGCAAAATAGCATTGTGGGGGTGCTGATGAGAACGTTTTCATTCACCATGACCTTACAGTTCAGGCCTGCTTTAAAAAGTATGGTGCAAGTAGAAAATGACAATGGCACTGATGTAAGGAGGAGAGCCGGAGTCTAACAGAGGCTGATGGAACCTGACTCCCCCCACTGGGCACATACTGTCCCCCTATTACAGAGGAGGGGGAGAAGAAGAGATTGTTGTAGTGACTGAACAAGGAGGATCTGGGACTTTTCTCTGGATTTAGTGTTTATTCCTCACCTGTGCTGATCTCTGGAGGGATTTCCTCCTCCTTACATGGCTCATAGCCGGAGTCTAATAGAGGCTGATGGCTCCTGACCCCCCCACTGGGCACATACTGTACCCCCATTAATGTCTACTGACAGAGGAGGGGGGAGAAGAAGAGATTATTGCAGTGACTGGACAAAGAGGATCTGGGACTCTTCTCGTCTCTGGATTTAGGGCTCATGTACACGGGGCGTTTGGCAAACTCTTCTGAACAATGGAAACTGACTGCTGGAAAACATAGTTTAAAAAAGGTCAGTTTAGCCGCGTTTGCATACTGCGTTTAAAAGCGTTTTTAAAAGAACATCAGGAGACCTTCCCAAATGCCCAGAATGCACTGAAAAAGTAAAAAATTAGCTATTTCAGACATTTTGAGAGGAATAGAGAGACCAGAAGCAGAGAGATCAATGTGTTGAGATGACCTGTCTTTTCTGGCTGTATTCACTTTGGATCCTGTCATGAGCATAATGGGGCACGTTCTACCATTTTTTCCCTTCACGTGAAACCTGGAACTGACTGTGCTGGTGTACCGGGTCCATTTGAATACATCGAAAACACTTTGCATGCATTTCTGATGATGAAAAAAGGCTCGGGACAGCATCTGGACATGGAACAGTTAAAAAACGCTTCTAAACGCAAACGCTTCTAAACGCGGTTAACCGCGTTTACACGCGTTTGAAACTCCGGTAAAATCTACTCCTGAACGCAAATTTGGTGCATTAAAAAAATTACTGTAAACTCCACTGCCTGTAAATGATGATGTTTACATTGACACAAGGGAAAACATTAGGGAGAGTTCAGGGGCTGCTGAAAAAAACCGCAGAAAAGCTCCTAAACGTCGAGTTTATCAGCTGCAGTGTACATGAGTCCTTAGAGTTATTACAGCACAGTGGCTAAATGGACAGCACTTCCGCCTGGCAGTACTACGGTCGCTGGTTCAAATCTCAACCACGGCACCACCTGCCTGGAGTTTACATGCTCTCCCTGTGCCTGCGTGGGTTCCCTCCGGGTACTCCGTTTCCTCCTACTTTCCAAAGACATTCTGGGAGGTTAATTGGATCCTTTCTAGATTGGTCCTAGTATGTGTATGTATGAATGTGAGTTAGGGACCTTAGATTGTACACCCCTTGAGGGTTAGGGAGTGATGTGAATGTACAATATATATGTAAAGCGCTGCGTAAATTGACGGCGCTATATAAGTACCTTAAATAAATAAATGTAAAAAAAAGCACTGACACTGTACTAATGACACTCGGTAGGAAGGGTTAACATCTGGGGCGATCAAAGGGTTACCTGTGTGTTATGGAATGGTATGGCTGTGTACTGTTTTACTAGGGGATGTGCTGATTTTTTATTCCCTGCTTTGCAGGGTGATAAAAACTGGCACATTCCCACTGACAGAAAAGAGATCTACCTGAAATAAATAAAATTCCTCACCTGTGCTGATCTCTGGAGGGATCTCTTCCTCCTTCCATGGATCATCACCCCATCACATACGGCTGTCCTCCATCCTCTGTATTTTCCACTTTCAGCGTTTCACACTGGAACAAACAAGGAACATTAAAATACCCTTTGAAACACATTATTATGTATTCATTGGGAGTAAATTACCTCTCTACTATGAACAAGTAGGTGCTACGCCCAGAAATAATCCCCATGGATGTCTTCCCAGCACTGATGCAACTGAATGATGAAGATTGGTGTAGCCGGCACTTGTCTTCCCGAATAATAAACTTTACTGAATGAGTAAAATATATTACGATATATATTATTTCAGCAATAAGGCTTGGACATGGCCAATCAGGAAGACAAATGCTGGCTATACCAATCTTCACCTCCGTACTATAGCCTCTAGCTATGATCCCACCACTTTTGAATTCCACAGAATGGTATATTTGATAAAAATAAATACCGCATGGAGGGTGGGGGGTTTGTGGATAGGGATCCTGGCAGGGTTCACAAAGTACAACTTCCTCTACCACCAAAGCCTCCAAGAGGTTAAAACATAATTTTGTAGTTTACTCTTTACAATCAGCCAAAAACGAACATAGGATGGCCCTTGGATAATGTTCTGTCCCCACATGAAGGCGAATGAAGGTATAACTGACAATAGCTGTGTAACTTCCTACCTTCGTATCCAAGCAGTGGAGCAGACCGGACCGACAGATGCTCAGGTTAGATGGATCCAAACGTATATACACGGGAATGAAATCAGCGTGGGTTTATTTGATCCAAATACAGCGACAAACAGTGATACAATACTGTAAGGTAGTAGAGGTATTGATGCTGTCCTGTGATATTTTCCTGAAGCTAACTGCTGGTCAAAAACTGATGCCTTCACAAGCCCAGGGTATTGAATGTCCTGTCACACAGCTATAAAGCACATAAAAATGGCTGCAGGAAGTGACCAGAACCAAGGCTTGCCTAAAACCACGCCCAGCAGAGAAAAAAACTTACTAGCTATAACAGGGGCATGCAGCATGCAAATTCTGGCCAGCAGATGGCAGCAACAGATCAAGACATAGAAACAAACATGGTGAAATAAGAATTGGTGATACAATGCACAGTTAAATAACAAATATGAGGGGAACAGCACACTCCCCGTCTGAAATTCCATAAGGGATTTCACTATGACGAATGTCCATAAATTATAAAACAACCTGTAACAAAGAACATGTTAGAATGCAATAAACATAACAATATAGTAGATTCCGAGTTGGAATAGGGAAGATCCACAAAGTTCAAGTTCAGTAGAGTTCACCCAGCAGGAATGTTCTCGATGGGTAGTATCAAAATGAGTTCGTTAATTGGCCTTGCGAACATTTTAAGCTCACCCTTTCTGAAGATCTTCAACTCCACTTTACGGACCTTGCCATCCTTGCTAGGAAGAACCTTTGTAATTAGTCCCATAGGCCAGTCAATCCGTACGGTATGTTGCTCCTTCATTAACACGAGGTCGCCTTCTTTTAGGTTTGGTTTGTGGTGTTGCCACTTTCTTCTTCCTTGAAGAATATTGAGATACTCCTTTCGCCACCTGTTCCAGAAGTAATCAGCTAGGTATTGTACACGTTTCCAGTGTTTTTGGTAGATATTCGCATGAGTAAATTCTCCACTAGGCATTAGCGTAATCTCAGTTTTTTGGGTAAGTAGGATAGCTGGAGTCAGTACGGCTGGTGTTTCAGGATCCATAGATACTGGCACGAGGGGTCTAGAATTGATGATAGCTGAAACTTCAGCGAGAAGGGTGACTAGAGTCTCACGTGTGAGTCTTGAAGAGTTTACATCCATCAACATAGAATTCAAGATGTTGCGTGAGATCCCGATCATTCTCTCCCAGGAGCCCCCCATGTGGGAACTATGAGGAGGATTGAAAATCCAGGTGCAACCCTTTTCCGCCAAGTGATCTTGAATGGATTTGGTGTCTATGTTCAGTTCTCTACAGGCTCCAATGAAGTTGCTTCCACGGTCAGACCTCAACTGTTTCACTGGCCCTCTGATTGCGAAGAACCGTCTTAAGGCATTAATAAGGCTGGATGTGTCCATGGATTCTATGACCTCTAAGTGAACGGCTCGCACACTCATGCAAGTAAATAGTACAGCCCAACGCTTACTGTTTGCGTGACCGCCACGGGTCCTGCGTGCGGACACCATCCATGGCCCGAAGACGTCTAGGCCAACGTAGGTGAAAGGCGGCTCTGTACATAGTCTGTCCGCAGGCAAATCAGCCATTTGTTGGTGTAGTTGTTTTCCTCTAGCTTTGCGACAGTGAACACAGTCATGCAATACTTGGGCCACACGTCTTTTCATACCTATAATCCAAAGGCCAGCAGACCGTAACTTGCCCTCAGTGATTTGCCTGCCCTGGTGTTCAGTCTTTTTGTGGTAGTGTCGGATCAGCAAGACGGTGATATGGTGTTTGCTGGGAATGATGAGAGGATTTTGTTCTGCAACTCTTAGGTGGGCTTGATTCAAACGACCACCAACTCTGAGCAAGCCAAAACTGTCAATAACTGGATTTAAGTTGGCAAGAGGGCTTTTTATTGGAATCTGCTGTTTGTTGTACAAGCACTTCCATTCTACATTGAATTCCCCTTGTTGGACGTGACGTATTATGAGGGACTCACTATGAGAGATGTTCTCCGCAGAGAAGGGTTTATGGCAGACGTGCCAACCGTGACAA